AGTGGGGGCCCACGGCGGGGGTGGGGGCCCACGCCAGTTTCTCGGAGGAGACACGTGAGGCGGGAGGTCGGTGGACTGCGCTTCGCAGAGGCTGCATGGAAGCGGCCCGCACTCAGCTCTCTCTGGGACGTGATTGAATACGTGCTCCCTGGGCAAGGACAGAGGTGGCTCTGTGTTTAATACCCGCCAAGAACGGAGAAATATTTGAATGCTGTGCTTATTCTTGGGAACAAACATGAGGATCCCGGGAATGGAAACACCCGCCGGCTGGGCTGTGGGGCCAGGCCTGGGATATCCCATGTGGGCGTCCTCCCGCCTGGGGTTGCGGTGCTACGAAGCGGGGGCGGTGGGGCTGGTCCCCAGCATCGCTGGAGGTCCTGAGGAGGCGGAACAGCTGTGCTCACCGGATTCCGTTATCAACACCACAGTGTGGGCGCGGGCGCTGTGCCCGTGTGTGTCCACTGACCCTGAGACGGGCCAGAGCCAGGCGGCCCACCTCGGTCTCACTGATGGGCCTTCCGGCCTGAAAGCCATGATTTCTGTGAGAATGTTCTGCTCTGTTTCATTTGTTTATTCTGTTCTTTCGATTCCACATGTAAGTGAGATCGTAGGCTGTTTGTCTTTCTCTGACTGACTTACTGCACTTGGCATAAGACCCTCCTGGGCCACCCATGTCGCAAATGGTAAGATGTCCTTCTTTATGGCCGGCTAGTGCTCCACGTGAGGATGTCCCACAGCTTTTTATACACTCACCGCCTGATGGGCATGCGGGCTGCTCCCAGAGCTCGGCTCCTGTAGATGATGCTGCGATTGCCAGGGGGGAGGGGCATGTTCCTGCTGTTCTTGGTTTCTTCAGATAAAAACTCGGAAGAGGGACCACTGGGTCGTAATGGAGTTCTGTTTTTGATCCCGTGAGGGACCTTCATTCTGTTTTCCATGGAAGCGACACCAGTTTGTAAAGTGCAGCAGAGGGAATACGCCAACAATATTGTAATACCGAGGTAGGGCGCCAACTGGGTACTAGGCTTACTAAGGGGGTCACTTTGTCGTATATAAAATGCCTAATCACTATATTGTATATCTGAAATTAATATAACATGAAGTGCCAACTGTAGTTACAAAATAAAAATATAATAAAGAAAGAAAAGAATGTTCCTCTCATTCGTTAGCTTCCATGTAGAGTTTGTGATCCCTGGTTCAAATTGATTCGGAAGAAGAATAAAGTCTCGATTTTCAATTATTGTCTGAGACTGCGTCTAGCATTTGTCAAAAGGGAGGACCCTTCCATCCTACCGTGAGCCGCTAATGACGGCCCTGAAATCACCAGCAGGCTGTTCCCGGAGGAGCTGGCTTAGACACTGGGATCTTTGATCTTATTTAGGAAAAAGCGTATGTGAGACCCGCTAATTATGGTAAACATGGTAGGCACACACATTTCCCTCGTAGAAATCTCACCGAGACATGGACGCCGGGGGAAGTATAGACAAGGAGAACGATGAGGGTAGAGAAATATGTTCAGAATTCAGTGTCCAGCGCTATGTAAATGAGTGGAATCGAGACAAATAGCAAGAAAACAAAAACATTAATTACAGCTTGCCTTTGCCTAAGTGAAGGAAGCATATGGGAAGAGAATATTGATGCCATGCAGAGCAGTTCCCACACAAAATACTCACCGAAACAATCAATACACAGGTTCCCCACCAAAAGCTGAGAGAGTGAGGTAGACACAGGTGCGCTTCTTCGGTGGGAACCTCGCATTTTTCACGACACCAGTGAGGGGGGGCGAGCAGCGCCCCTGACTTCCTGCCCTTCAACGTCTGGCTACCTATTCACTCAGCACACTGGGTTCAATCAACACGCTGCTGTAATCAAACGCTGAGGAATGGATTCCCCAGGTTGTGCTTTGAGGAGTGGTTACTCCAGAGTCCTGAGGAGGGGGAGCGGATTGTCTCAGTTGAGATCCAACGTGGGGAGGGCCAAGGTGCATGTGAACCCGAAGAGCAGGTGTGGCCCAGCGCCTGGGGCTCACCGCTGGGAAGACATGGGTTCTGACTAGAGGATGAGAATTAACATCTCTACGAGAGATGGCTACGTGCCCAGACATCCAGGATCGGGAGGTCAATGGAGGCCAGAAGTTCAGGATCTGAAGGTCGGGTATGACAAGGAGGGGAAGGAGAGTTTACATGTAAACACATAGGAAGCATGACCACCACCATGTTGAGAATGAATGTGCGACTGTGCACTGTCCGGACAGGTAACAGACAGCTACAACGTCCTATCACATGGCGGTCAAAACTCTGGGCTCTGGAGTTCGTCTATCCAGGCTACATCTTCTTAGTTCTACCACTGACAGGGTTGGTGATCTTGGCGGAGTTTCTTAAGTCCTTCACGCTTCAGTAAAGAGATTGATAGTAACGTCCTAAGAGTAAAGACAAACAGTCCTAGGGCTCCGAGACAATGACATGTGATGAGGTTCACTGAGGGCTTAGTGTGAGGGATCCACGCACGCCGGGTCGGCCACGAGTACCCTGGATCGTGTAATAATTGTGAAGCATTCGCTACACGAAGCTGCCAGTCTACGCGGCACAGAACCGAGCTAACCGAGCGGGAAGAGGGCGGTGGCTGTCTGTCTCCTCAGGGTTACACCCCCAGTTCCTATCAGGGAGCTGGTTCCTTGCAGGGTAGGTACTCAGTGACACTGCTTGAGTGAAGGCATGAATCAGGGTGATGGTGACCCTAAAGTCCCTTTTGTTTTATGTTGTAAAGATGCAGATGGGCTGGTATCCCTGCTGGACTGGGCATTCTGATTCCAAAGCAGGTCAACCAAACACCTTCCCTAAAGCCCTGGAGAGAGGCCTGTGGGCCGCAACCCAATGCCAGCCCTCCACCTTGCAGCACACACACCCCATCAATGCTGGAATCATGGACGCCCCCTGGTGGTCTCACACCTTCCGGAATCCGAGACAGCCACCTTCAACAGCATGTGCGAACTCTGGAAAGCCCTGTCTAGTAGCGGGCTGTGAGTCCAGGGTCAGGCCTGCTGCCTTAGGCTCTCTGGCTCCTGCTCGCCTGTCCGTGCGGTGAAATGAAAAAGAGAGGGTGGGAGCCCAGCCATGGAGTGGTGGCAATGAAGCTATGGGAAGAGCTCCCAGACCACATCCGCCCCCACACACCAACCAGTGGCCGGCAACACCCTCGACTGTGACATCGGTTTCCTTACCCAGCTCAGCTCTCTGCATTCAGCACTGGGATGAGCAAAAATAACAACTTTCAAACTGAATAATGGTTCAAATGACTCTAAAAGGACCAGGTAGACGGCGAAACATCAACGCCTGGCCTTGCCTACACCACCATGAAAAGAGCCACTAAAAGCCCATCAGCAAAGGGCCTTCGACGGCGGCAGCCCAGGCTCTCCCGGCCCCTTGCATGCTCCAGATCCAATCATTGCCATCTGAAGCGACAGCCCGCTTTTGAATTAGTGTGAAATACACTGGCGCTTTTTAAATCAGAAAGTTTAAAAATGACACGCTACCTGCAAGGCACAACGTGAATGATTGCAGGACCAGCAGTTCCCATGGCAACCTCATCTTCAGTTTCCGAGGTCAAAGGAGTTTCGAGTCCAATAACAAGTGAATAGAATGGCTGCTTCTTTTTAAGTTTCGTTCAACCTTTGATCTGCGGGAAAGAGGAGACATGGCAATGAGATGCAGGAATACTTCTTGTGGTCTCTGCAACGGATGCTGACGTGCATGCAAATAAAATTCACTTGTGCAAACGTGCTATTAGAGAAGACAGAAGCCTGTCACATTATACACAGGGGGTGGTGTCTCTCCTTTTCTGTTCTGCCGAACACTATGTAGGTGGCAACCCGAGACCATGCGTCCCCAGGAAGAAAAGAGCGACTTCTGATTAGATGTAAACCAACCTAAAAGCAGGGGACCGACTATTTTTTTTAATGTGTTTTTATTGATTTCAGAGAGAGGAAAGGAGAGGGAGAGAGAGAAACATCACTGATGAGAGGGAATCATTGATCCGCTGCCTCCTGCAGGCCCCCTACTGGGGATTGAGCCCAGAACCCGGGCATGTGCCCTGACAAGGAATTGAACTGTGACCTCTTGGTTCATAGGTCAATGCTTACCCACTGAGCCACACCGGCTGGGCCAAAAATATCTTATGAACACTGTGTGAAACAAACAAAGCCCAGTGTCCTCGGGTACCAAAGGTTTGCGACAGGGCCTCAGGTAAACAGGCCTCACTGCCTTTGCGTCCTCCCCCTCCCCCTCCCCCATCTACATCCTTCATGTTTAGGGAGCACCTCTTGCTCATCGGACACTTGGGGAGGCCCTGGACCGGCTCTGTCCTCAAGGGCCTCATCGTCTGATGCATAGCACAGGTGTGCTCTCCGCCACTACAGAGGAAGGAGGGGGACTTTCTGGCTGGGACACGTCATAGAGGAGATGAGCTCCCAGGGGGCTGAGAGAGGAGCAGGTGCCTCTTATTCATCAGTGAACCGGAGAGACCAGAAATCCAGGGACCCAAGCCTGGAGCTCTCCGCACAACGGGGGCTGTCGCTGGTTGCGGGTCCTGGCTGGGCACCCACGCCATCTCCCTCTCACGGGGGTTTCATGGGAAATCTCATGGTTCAGTGAACAGAACCCCTCTGAAGACCCCCAACCCCACCAAATGCTGGATCTCGCTGTTTCTTACGTGGCCCCCGTGTGTTAATGTTGATAGTGAAACTGGACAACCAATGGGTCCGGGCTGCCTGCCACTATTTGAGCCAATTCTGCAGAGACAGGGTTGTATGAACCTTTATTCCAGTACAGCCAGGAGCCTGGGAGAACAGCAGGTCATCCACAGAATCTGCTCTACCCCCCACCATAAGCCAGCTCCTTATATTGGGTAGAAGGACAAAGATTACACGGGGAAGCAGGGATTACGGGCATGGGGAAGTAGGCAATGTGGGCTGGGGCGGGACTCCATTGCTTGGGCAACCAGGTTGTTAATCTTTCCATGACAACAGGAAGTTCTTGAATGAGAATGGACCGCATTCTAAGATTGACTCCTAGGTCCAGAGGTCTTACAACTGCCAGCCAGGTTAGAATGTCCTTTCTTTAACCAACACAAGGCAATCATGGTTAGCAGAGTGTCTATATATATATAAAAGCCCAATATGCAAAGTGTCCCCTTGGGAGTTCAACCAACCAGGAGTTTGTGCACTATGATGTGCGCTGACCACCAGGGGGCAGTGCGGACTGAAGGGAGGCCCTTGTGGGCAGCCAGCAGCCAGGGAAGGGAGGCCCTGGCCAGCAGCTGCTAGGGACCCTACTTGCGCATGAATTTCGTGCACTGGGCCTCTAGTCATTAATATTTCCCATAACCATAGCTAGTCCTCAATATTCTATATTTGCCCCCAACAATAGTGGCCTGGGGCTCCCTGTCTCACCCCCACAGAGGATGCGCTGTGAGTGAGCACAGGCTCCCGGGGAAACATGGACCCACGCAAGCTCATCCATCTAGGGCAGTGGTCGGCAAACTGTGACTCGGCAAACTGCGGCTCGCGAGCCACATGTGGCTCTTTGGCCCCTTGAGTGTGGCTCTTCCACAAAATACCAACTCCTGCGCATGGGCCACAAAGTTTCAATGGCACTGTACGTGCATGCCCGCGCATGGTATTCTTTGTTATGGGGTGAGGCCACAACATTAGTAACCAAGAAACAGAATTTCCGGAGGATGAGGCCCAGAAATCAGGGTTTTAAAAAGATTCCCAGGTGATTCTAATGTGCAGCCAAGGTTGAGAACCACTGATCGAGGGCTCTGAGCTGATCTGTGGGGTGTGGTTGCTGGGAAGCCTGTATGTTAACTGGGAAGCCAACAGGAAGGGAACCATCTGTAGAGGGCGGGCCTCGAGCCCTCAGGTAGCTCAGCGTCTGAGAAAGCCGACGCGCCTGTGCTGGAAGGGACCGGTCTCTCGGAGCGGCTGCAGGCCTGGGGGCAGGGGTCTCTAACCCAGGATGTCCCCACCTCTCCTGACACAGGTGGTGACGAGGCCTTTCACAGGGACGGGATGCGCTGATCAATGAAATCTATTAACGCCTTCAGCCGATGATCAGGGTATCATCATTATCTTGTGAGGGAAATGCCATCCCAGACCCCGGGATGGATCTGCAATGATAAGTCGTTTCGTGAAGCAATTAAACGGAGCTCAGAGAGGGGCCCGACTCCACAATAAGATGTAATCGGTGACGCGATGTGCGCTCTGCTCGGAGCAGTAGATTTTCCAGAAGGAAGGAATCCCAGAGCCCTCGCCTTTATTTACACGCAGGTGGGGAGGCTCCCCTTCCTGGGGAGAGGGATCGGGGTCCTGACGGTCATCAGTCTTGCGGCTGCGGGGAGCAGAGCAGCGGGCGCTCTGAAGGGAGGAAGATCCATGGGTCTCGAGTGGGCTTGTGGGCAGGACGCCAAGGTTCCCAATTTCGGTTTTCCTGCCAGAGCCAGAGGGAAGCGGCGGATGAGCCCAGAGTTATGGCCGTCGGGGAGCTACCGGCCGCCTGCAGCCCAGCTCGGGCTCCAGCCGAAGGCGGAGGAGCGGCAGGTACTGTGCTCAGCACTAATTTGGAGGCCGAGCCCACGAGTGAGACCCGTAAATCCTGGGAGGCGGCCGCAGGGTGGGCAGGGCCTGGCTGCAGTGTCTGGCTGGGCAGGAGATGGATGACCGAGAGCTTCAGCTTAGCTTCCCCACACTGCTTCCCGGGGCAAATCCCGCAGCCTCCAGCCTTCACAGGATGCTGACACCGACCGTCCTGCTCAAGGCCCCTGTGCCGGGTTTCAGACAAGCGTGCCCCCGCCCCCATTCCCCCTTAAACACTTGGCTTCCTGAACCTGCGTCAGGGTCTGAACCTGGGATTGTGGGTTTCAGCATGCCGCTGGGAAAAATCCTGCTGGCACCCAAGTAGCTCTAATTCAGTCCCATAAATAAGTGGGTGCACTTCCTGTGTGGCAGGAGGGGTGTCGGAATCTGGGGGTGCAGAGGGGACAGAGCTCACTGCTCACCTGGTGGGAGGGCCTGCCACACCTGTCCTTGCCCCCAGGGCAGGGCATGCAGTGAGCTTGGTGAGCACCAGATACTAAGCACACACAGGAGCACCACCTGCTGAGCCCTGCAGTGGGGCAGGCCAGGGGCGGACAGTTGGAGCTGGGCCTTAAAGGATAAACGGGAGAGAGGACAGCACACAGGCATGAAGCTGAGAACTTTGAGGGTTCAGTTGCCACCACACAGATGATGAAGAGCCACGTCTCGGCCCTGCCACACCCACGCCCTGGACCTGGGCCTCCTACTCCGGCCACCTGGCTCGTCTGTGAAATAACGGGCTGATGCCCACCTGCCAGGCTCATCGCAGGTTCGGTGAGAATGCACAGGTGCCACGGGCAGGGGGCCTTGCTCAGGATGGAACAGCACAGCCTCGATTGGGGCTGGGTCCACACTGGCCTTGGGTGTTGGTTCAAGAGCTTGGACTTGAGCCCAGCCAACCTGGCTCAGTGGTTGCACATCGGACCTATGAACCAGGAGGTCATGGTTCAATTCCCAGTCAGGGAACATGCCTGGGTTGCAAGCTCATTCCCCAGTAGGTGGCGTGCAAGAAGCAGCTAATCAATGATTCTCTCTCCTCACTGATGTTTCTCTCTCTCTCTCCCCCTCTCCCTTCCTCGCTGAAATCAGTAATAAAAAAAAAAAAGACAGAGAACTTGGACTTGAGTCTGAAGGTCGGGAGGCGGGTGGGAATGACGCACTGCGGGCAGGACCTGGGCGCGGTGGATTTCCCCACGTGGGACCTGCTTTAAATGCAATCCCCGGACGCACAGAGGAGGTGCCTGCCCCCTTTGCTCTCTCCTCGGTCCACAGGTTACTGACACCTCATTACCAAGTGCGCTCGCATCAGGAACCCAGCTTTCAAGGGCTCATGGCAGCGGGACTGAGCGGAGTGCTCTGGACCAGGTCACGGCACCGTGTGCTTTCATCCTCATTTGGCCACAAGGTCTCTGGCCTTTGAGAAAGTGGCTGAATTTTTGTCAATATGTTTGTGCATCTGCAGATTGGGGGCCATGTGTGCTGCGAGGGTCAAAGGATACAAGTTTTGAAAGTAAATATTAATTATTATTATTGTTAGGACTCGGCCTTCTCTTGATTTCTTGGCTGAGTCTCCACTGGAATAGATGACTGAACCGAGATGAACAAAACCTGTGGCCATGTGGCTGTCTTCATGTTTTTTAAAGGATCAGCGTTTTCTGTGCTCACGATTTTGGCAGGAATGTGAACAAAACACTGTGTCTTCTTAAAAATATTTTTATTGATTTATAGAGAAAGGGGAAGGAAGAGGGAGCATGAGAGACAGAAATATTGATGAGAGAGAAACATCATTGATCAGCTGCCTCCTGCACGCCCCCTACTGGGGGCCGAGCCTGGAACCGCGGCATGAGCCCTGAGAGGGGCTGGAACTGGTGACAGACCTCTTGACGACACGTGTCTTTTAAAGCCGGACAAAGTCTGAGGGCGACTCCTCTCTGCTTTCCTGTCCTGTCGGAGGGACGCCGGATGCCAGGGAGCAGAAGTGCAGAGTGTTCACCACACAGAGGCCCGCACGGGGGCGGAGAGGAGACCCCGTCGGGGGTTAGGC